GGTGTTATCGTAAAGACTGCATGAGAAAAACTTGCATATAAAGGGAGCTAAGGTATTCTACTTTCGGTTATTTCAAAGCAAGAGAGATAAAAAATGAGATACGCCTTCGCCGGGAATCGAACCGTGGAACTTTGAAATACACGTCCAGCGTGCAGACCACTACACCACCTTGGCACGCGACGAAATCTGGAGATATACCTTATATACTCCCCCTTTTAAAGGGCGACTGGCGTTTTAAGGGACCCAATCGCCAAATCCTAGGGGTGGAGAATCATCATCCACCACCCTTTTAGATCGGGCGCCACTTGTACAGACATTACGATTATTTTGGAAGTAGGAACGATGAAAAATAAGCAACTCCTTCGCCGGGAATAGAACTGCGGACCCCTGGAATATGCGCCCAACGTGCAGACAACTACACAACGAAGGATGGCGAAGAAGGCGGTAGAAATACCTTATATAATGTACATGGTTTCATTAGGGATTTGGGAATTTCAACCTATAACACAACACATTGGGGGTTGTTCATCGATTACTCAAAGTAAAACTTGAAGTGTGTCTTCCTCCATGATGGAAATGTATTTGGGGCAGTCCCAGTAGGCCATTCAGTTTGTTTGTAGGAAGACTACGAAAACATGAAGAGAGCCATTGATATATTGCAGTATCACACATCTGTGTTGACCTTAAAATGATCTACTTCCTTCTTCGCCAGCAACGTGGATATATCAAGTATCCCTGTTTTTAATGTGCGTGGGACAGCAGAGCTTGCGAGCAGCAATGGATGCAATCGAATTTGCCGCCAACATCTGACCTGAAAGCCGCTGATTCAAATATTCTACATCAGCCACTTGCCGTCAGGGAAAACATTATATTTTCACCTCTATACATAAAAGTGTCTAATGAAGCAATTTTAAGCTTAGTCAATTAAAGCAGACTGTTTCCAGTGTCTCGTTTCGTCATAGCACAGAATTGCAGCGAAATCGTGAAGCAATTTTTGGAGAGCTGAAAAATGCTTGGTTGCACCATGAGCATCAAACTGCAGTTTTTACGTCGCCATCTTTATAAATTCCCGAACTTGATGCAGTTAATGATTATCTGGGGGAGCGATTTCACTAAGATATTAAGATCATAGACCCATAATACCAAGGCAGGTTGGTTTTACTTATTAAGGCTGACTATTGGAGCATATCAAGCGAGAATCGTTCACAGATTAAACACTCCAGAAAAAGCCACAACCGAAGATATTTACGTTAATATGTATGTTTATTTGAATTACTACAAAGCATTCGGTCTATATGCCTAACGGAAAGGGTACCTTCGTGGAGGACTTTCTGATGGAAAACAGCTTCTAAACACGTTACACGTGGGAAAACCATGAAAACACCCATGCTGCCAGCTCGTTCGCGGGATTGAACCTCGGACCGAACTTCTAGTGCTCAGTGACTTAAACGCTCTGCGGCTCGTGGGCTCCATTTGTTAATTGAAGACAGGTGTTATGTTACTGATATGTTACCTGAAGGTAAAATTTAAAGATTAAATAAAAAATATTAATTTTGAAGAAAATTGTTTCTTCTCATTGTATCGTCAACCGCAAAATATGTGTAGACAAAATTTGATTTTGATAGCTTTCAGGAATATTTAATAATGTATGACAAACCATATCGTTAATACCATGAACGAACTAAAGGTTATAAAAAATACTAAAATTTAAAAACATTACTTTGATAGTCTTTGAATTTGCACTCTAAGTGTATAAATGGTTAATATTTCTAAACTGCAATATGTTCTCTTGTGTAACATGAGCACGAGTCTCTTGTGCGTTCAAAAGCAACCACTCCCTTTGTCTTCGTTTGACCCTTTTTTGTAAGTAAGTTACAGAAAAAACATCGCAGACGAAAACGTCGCGGAGATAACAAAGCAAGGCCAAAACTTCGTTATAAAAAACATCGTAGGAGAAAAGAAAGAAAGGAAAAAACATCACAAGTCCATAACATCGTGGTACAAAACATCATCGTCGAAAATAAAGCGGTTCAAAACTTCGCACTTTAAAGACATCGTCCTAAAAAATAAAGCATCTACAAATCATCGCATGACGATAACATTGCAGGCATGCTTTCAGCCTTTAAAAGTTGCAAATGCATATTCGCATAATGATTTGTAAGCGCGAGTAAGATTGAGGAATATGCCTACCTCTATACTTTATATTTTTGGAGTTATTAATTTTTTTCTCTAAGAAACATGAAGGAAACTAAATGTTTAAGCATGAAGGAAAATGTTTAAGCAATTATCAAATTGTTAATCAAATATTCTTTGAGTAAAAATTATTATTTTGTTGTAAAATTCTTATTTTGTTTCAGTTTATTCGTCTTCTTAAAAGTGTCATTATTCTTTTTATGTATAGTCTCTTTTGGATGTTGATTCGCGAGTTATGATGAAACATGTCAGGAGGAAGCATATTGGAAAACATGTGAGATTTATCTGCCTAACGGGAGGGAAGCTTTTGAAGAATTCCAGGCATTCCAGGAACAGATTATGAACGAAACTCATTCGTTTTTACAGCACTCAGTGAGAAGCCTAAAATAAAATTAGACCTATAAAATGTAAATGTAGATTTTTTTTCAGAAAGAATATATAATTAGATTTTTTTTCAGAAAGAATATATAATTAAAATGCATCTTCTTGGTGACTATTATCCTAGGATAACCAGTGTTTCTGAGAACATAAAGAAAGATATATATTAAACAATATCTGTCTAAGATGACTAAAGAGTCTTGTTATCGTCAGTGATCGCTTTAAAGAGAATTTTTGTATTTAAATTTTTATTTAGACAATGTTATAAATAATTTTAAAATATATTAAATTTTTTCATAGACCTTTTATTCGAAACTTATTTAGTTAATTCTTGAACTTTTACAACAAACGATGAACTATTTATCTTAGACCTGCCCTTCTGAATGTGACCAGTATGGCTGTAAAATTTTGGTATTAAATCTCATCTTTCTAAGAGGACAAGCTTCATAGGAGGGTAAATCGTTTAGAATTATAAATGGTGGCCTTAGAGGTGACCCCCTGAGTCTAGCTTTCCCGTTTAGGTTATTTTTATTTCATTTTAGGAAATGTGGCTTCAGTGAGAACATTTTAGGGAAACTGACTCATATTCTAATTAGAATAAAAACACTAGTCGTATTCTTTTATTTCTTAATATCTTGTTTTTTGCTTGGAATTTCTAAGTTTTCAAAGTATCTTACTCACAATCGTACCAGTAATTGATACAGAAATTGCACTAATATTTGGGCGGACCCCAAATAAGTGATCTAACGTTGTGAAAAGACTAGCCTAGTTGATCTACTGATTTTGGACAAGAGAGCGCATTTTTCATATTTACACTCTGTCAATTGCTGTCAAATTCAGATGTAAAACAACAAATTTTGAAATTTCGAAACATTGAGGAGAAAAGTGCTAACACAAGCAGTATCCAGGCAATATTTAAATGAAGTATGAGTTTTATTAGTATTTTCCTTTTCTCCTCGATTTAATCAATGAAACTCAAGCATGTTGCAGCTTTCAAATTAGAATATCCTTCATTTTCGTTAAAGCAATAAAATCAGAACTGATACAGGAAAGAAGGAAGAGGAAAGTTTTATCTACCCTGTTTATCTACTCCTGTAAGGTTTATCCTAAGTTTATAACAGTTACTTTTACGTTAAAGCTCCTTTCCTATCTCTCCTAATTTCAGCTTACAAATTCCTTACCAGAATGTTTTTTTTAACATCGCGTTTAATGCAAATCAGAAGGAGTAGTATTTAAGTTCCACTGACTTCGGAAGAAAGAAGCAGAGTTTCTGACTAGCGCGCGTTTGCTTTTTGGCCACGTCTCTCTAAACTGTTACTATGCTCGGTCGTATTACGGGACCTTTGATAATTAATAATAATGAAATATTTAATAAATGAAAGCTTCGCTATCTAATTCCATATTTAGAGGCCAACTACTTAGAATAGTGTTAGCTTAGGCTAAATCTCTTTAGTTAGTCATTAGTTAAGATTTTATTTCTTATAATTTTGAGTTTAATCCCAAGTGGAGGCTATGATGTACGTCCTCAGAAAAAGGCCATCTGTTAATCCTTATTTTAAGCAATGAAGGGTAATTAAACCTTCTTGAGTATTATGTTTCTGTTACTGAACTTAAGCGATTATTCGCTTAGCTCTTCACTAGGTTTGTCTACACTTACTTATTGTATAAAAAGGGAGAGATACTACAATCCTAATACAGAAAAACACCAATAGATAATTACGAGTAGGACATCATTTTATGCCAAACATTAGGGTGCAACATTTTACATGTGCACAGGACAACTAGGATACTCCTCTGAAAAACGGGTTAGGAACTAGAATTTATAGATATGAGTTTAAAATTTCTTCTTAATAAAAATGAAATATTTAATAAATGTAAATTTCTGGCTTATAATATTTAAATTTAAGCAGACTATTTTAGTCTTTAAAAGATACTCATTAACTAAGGATTTCATTTCTTTATTTTTTCAATTTGTGTTACTAACTTCAGAAAAAGCGTATTTTTCGAAATATATGTGAGATTTCAATTACGAATTAAATTTGCTAGATTCATATTTAATCTTCTAAACATAAGCAAAGATTAATTGCACTGGAAACATGCATCATATATCTGCATAGCGAAGGCTCACTCGAACATAATTTCGTTAAGAATAAGTTGAAAAGTAAGTTGCATAATAAAAGAAAAACATTGAATTTATTTCCTGTTTACTATGCATCATGTTACAGGTACATGAGAAATGCAGATATGTCTTGAAAAAACAAGGTTTTAGATGTACAGTTTAAATGAATACTTAATATGTAACCTTCAGTAGTATATTTTCTTAGTTTCAAAAAATTTGAAATTTCCGCTTACTGAGAAGAACATTAATTCCCAGAATTAACTAAAAGTACTTAAAATGTTTATAGCGTTATTTTCTGATTGTACTTTACCTTGAAATCCATAGCTTTGTGGATCTGCATTGCCTTCACCATCTACAGACCTTTTCACAAATCCTGAGCTTGCTGCACCTGCAGCACCAGAGGCACTCCCAAAGAATTTCTTAGCTTCATAGTTTTGTTTAATATTGTAAGCTAGTGTGTCTGCACGGGCTTGTGAAACTGCGGATGAAGCATGAAACATTTTTTAATCAATAAACTGGAAAGAGTTAAAATTTCTTCATTTAAAACTGTAAATTTTACGATCGAAATCCTCACGAAGGAAATAATTATATTATTACTTACAGATGGAATCGCTATGAATGAAAACATTTGAGAAAATAATAGCAGCGAATATGTTTCCTTAAGCATTAGAGAAAGTTAATATAAAATGATATCTCCGAATACTTAAGGATAGCTAATCAGAAAAGTTGTCGTCTAAAACGAAAAATAACTGATAATAACACTTTACAATTTAAACACTGAAGCAAAAAAAGCAAGTATTGCATTATTACTCGTATATCCTTTTTGCAAAATTTTAACCCAGATATATAAAATTACCAAAACACTGCTTAAACGTAATTTTACTGAGAAAATTGTTATGCATTTTGTATAGATGGAAATAATTTTAGTTAAATTATATGTAGGTTGTAGTATATCTGGAGTAAAGTGATATGAGAGGCCTCAGAGCGTGAAGCACCTCTGAAAAAACAGCGTTACAAGGGCAAACTCATTTAACATTGAGACAAATGTCTATCTCGCCAATTTGGCGAGAAGTTGCCGATAGTCGCCAAACTTGCCGAACATTATAGTCCAATCCTTGTGTAACTGTACATTGGTCTACTCCTGTGTAACATTAACTGAGCATAACTGGCCTTACATAACTATGCATTCGTTCTAGCAATTTCGAGGAGAAGAAGGCACTGAAAATTTCTCGACGGCCGGAGAAAAAACACGTAAGACCTGAGAGAGCATCAGTTTTCAGTTTAGTTCAATGTTCAGTTTAGAATTAAGCTGAGAGTATTAAGAACTCACTGTCCGAACTATGCATTACTGAGGTCAATGTGTATTTGAGGACCTTTGTGTTGCCATGTGATCAGTGCTCTTAGTAATTTCAAGTGGTAATTGACATATGCCATATTGAGAGAAAAGATCCAGAACAATAAAGTGTTTTGGGAGAAATAAATTTCATCGGTTCTGTGTACATTTAATCCATTACGAAACCGTACCCACGAGATAACTTTTCGTGTTGAACCGGGACTGAATGTCGGTGACAAGAGCGATATACGAACAACTAAGACAGCTGGTGACAGCCTTTGCTGTATTCCAAAAATATATAAAAGTGGCTCTCATATCCATTAAAAAAGAGGCGGAAGTGGTAGATGAATTTAACGTTAGATATCAGTAAGAATTTTATATATTTTGAAGGCACTTCCAAGAGTTTTATTATTTGAAAGATTTTTAAGCTCTCTAAGAATAAAGTTAGATATAGCATAAATTTTAACAGAAAAAAATTTATACATCAAAATACTGAAACTAGTCAATCACTGAAAACAAATAGCATATAATTTCACTGGGAAGGCAGACTCGGGAAGAATTTTTTAAACCTAAGTTGGAAAGTGAGTTTCTTAAGAGATACGAGATACACTGACCTTTTTACTTCCTTGTACGAAGTGAAAAGGAAGCATTGTAATCGCGAAAAGTTTCAGGCATCATATTTCAACGCAAATATCCATTTTCACCGCTATCGAATGCAATTTAACGATGTTTTTGAGTGACATCTGTACGTAAGGATAGGATAAAGGACTCTTTCCCCCCAAAAAAAATTGTAAAACTAATTTAAAATGAATTCCGAAGAGAATTTTTTGTGGTGTCTGTGCGTATGTATATATATATATCGCATAGCTCAAAACCGAGTAGCCTCAGAACGTTGAAATTTTGTATATAGGACTGCTATAACATGTAGATGTACCCCTCGTATTTTGGTTGCAAACGGCTGTACCAAAAGTATATAAAACTTTCTAGGACAACGGAATATTTTAATAAATTCATTCCGCATTATGCTAAAGTAGCTAAACCTCCTAATGACTTACTTAGAAAAGGTATTGGTTTTAAGTTCAATTCGGAACAACAGGAAGCATTTTGCAGATTAAAAGAAATTCTCTCTCAAGCACCTGTTCTACATATATTTATTCAAGGATATCCAATAAAACTTCATACTGAGGATAGTAGTCAAGGCTTTGGTGCGGTACTACTCCAACTGTCTGATGATGGTAATTATCACTCAATCCAGTATATGAGTAAGATGGTGTGTGTGTTGTGTATTTAATTATGGCAAAGCACACTAGGGCTATCTGCCTAAAAGGAGGGATGCCTTCGTGGAGGACTTTCTAAGGGAAACTGGCTCGTATACACGTTACACATGGGGAAAACCACGAAAACGCCCATGCAGCCAGCCCGTTCGCGGGATTCGAACCTCAGTATATGAGTAAGAACACCGCAGCAAGAGAAACTCTATAGTAACGAATTAGAAGCCCATGCAGTAATAGAAGCTCTTAAGAAGTTTAAAAACTATTTATTAGGGTCTTAATTCAAAATTGTCACTGATTGTAATGCTTTTCAGAAAATTTTAGATAAGAAAGATTTAATTCCTAAGATTGCAAAATGGGCAATGTTTATTGAAGAATTCGATTACGAAATTGTACATCGACAGGAAGACAAATGAAACATGCTGATGCATTCCTACTTAATGCTTTAATTTTGACATCATACACATCCGATATAACTGAGAAAATTCGGTTAGCACAACAACCGAATGAAGATGAGCATGTGAAATTGATCAAATATTTATTCGAGAAAGGAGAAGAAAATGGATTCTTCCTGAGAAATGATATTTTGTATAAATTTGAAAATGGTAAAGATCTGCCAGTATTGCCAGAGTTATTAAAGCAGAAGGATTTCTTCATCCCGTACCGAAAGAAAACGTTCCCTTGAGTACATACCATGTCGACTTTACTGGACCTCTTCCATCGACGAACAAGAGATACCAACACATTTTAACTGTGATCGACGCTTTTACGAAATTTACTTGGTTCTATCCAGTGAAATCACGACCTACGCAAAACGTCATTTCAAAATTGAGGCAACAACAGACTGTATTTAGGAATCCAGCCAGAATCATTTCAGATCGAGGTAGTGCCTTTGCATCGAAAGAATTTTCAGCTTATTGTACGGAAGAAGGCATAGAACATGTTTAAATTACTACTGGTATTCCAAGAGGTAACGGACAGATTGAGTGAATCACATGAGGATTCAATGAAATGGTTTAAGTATGTTCCAGATGTCCAGAGAATAATCAACAGTACAACTACGACAAGTACAAAATATTCACCGTTTGAACTTCTCATAGGCACGAAAATGAAGAATAAGGAAGATCTAAGGATTAGTGAGATATTAAATGAAGAATATCTAAAGCAGTTGATGCAAGAACGTGATGAAATGAGAGAAGATGCGAAAAACAACATTTTGGAAATACAAGAGAGAATCGTAAGCAATTTAACAAAAGACGGAAGAAACCGAAACTGTACAAAATAGGTGACTTGATAGCCATTCAGAGAACTCAGTATGGGACTGGTTTGAAACTACGATCTAAGTTTCATGGACCATATAAAATCATAGCTGTTAAATCAAATGACAGAAATGAAGTCGAAAACGTAGGATGTCATGAAGGACCGAATTTGACATGTACTGCGGCTGACCATATGAAGCCATGGTCAAATTGATTGATGATTGTATCAGCTCAAATCTAAGGACCTGATACTCTCTTTTTTTTCTTTTTTTATTCACTTTGCAGATATCTCATGATGATGGTGATGTCCACTCAACATACATCGAGGACGATGCCCCCGCAGGATGGCAGAGTGTAGCGGTAGCTCGTTCCACAACATTTACTTCTACTTCAACTTAGCAGAGCCGTGACGAAGTTTAGTGTAGCTTACAGATCAAGAGAAGATAGTTGGAAGTGCTGGAGACGAGACGCGTTCCAGACCGAGCGGATATTCTCAGATGGAATGGAAGCAGACAGACGGTCCGCAGGTCCATCAAGATGTTTGTCCATAGTAGCCTTAAGGGGGCAAGACGTGCCCTTGAACGTGCCTTCTTAGGACTGAGCATTACGCATCGTTATATGATCCTGGTATAACTGTCGGACTTCGTTTCACCATGAGATTACCAGTGAAATTATTAACTTTTACCTTTTATTCTTTTATTTCATTTATTTAATAGTAGTAAAATAAAACAAAAATTATGCTTTAAATGTGCTCTCCTCATGTTATTTGAAAGTAAAAACTACATATATATGTTTTATTAAGCTGAGAGGGCCTGGAAGTATTACAATGAATCTAGTATTATCTTATTTCAGTGCTTGCATTTTTTTTTTTTTTTTTTTTTTTTTTTTTTTTTTGTTTTTGAAAGTGTTTAAAATATATATTCTGTATGACCTAATTATATCTATTGTAACATTAGAAATTATATATTAATAAATTAAATATATTCGTTGGGAACAAGATAAATTCATTCCTTTTGAAAAGTATTTCTTGTACAGACAATACATTTAAGGGTGACCAGTTATTAAAATTCAAATTTAACATGCCAAATATTTAACATGAATGCAAATGAATATTCATGTCAAATTTAATATGAAGGAGTTATAACAATTTTTACCTTAGTAATTTGAAACTCAGATTGTAATTTTCAGACTAGGCAGCTTAATTTTTAATATGCCTGTATGCAAATATATATATAATGTGTACCGTTTTGAAAGGTAGTTTAATGTTAAATTAAAATCATTTAATGGAAATTAATACAGAAGAACTTTACTTACTGAAGTAAAGTTTTAAACAACAGTATGCAACTGTAGCAGCACAAATGAAATTTCTAAAAAATACTGAAACCATATTTCGGTCTGTTGTTACGTATTTCAAGTTCTTTTCAATTTGACATAGCATTCACAACATCAACTAATTCTGATGAGCCATGAGTAACTCTAATTAAAATAAAATTTTATTTGAGAAATGTTCGTACCTTTTAGTACAGATATGGTTCCGCTTAAATATTAGTAACATTTTTAATTTGCATGTATTTTTCTTTTATCCGTCGCATAGTTTTTCTCTTTGCAAAATAACAGCATTTGTAATATTTTAAGTAGTACACTGGTTATAATAAATTAAGGAAAATTCACAAAAATAGCGACAACTCCCTCAAATTAAGCCAAACAGTGTAAAATTTGAATATGTTGCCAAGTAAGCGTAGCTGAGCGAAATTGCGATATGCCAATTAGTAGCAATGCACTCGGAATACATCATCTGCGAGGAGCATAAAAGTCCATGTTTGAGAGCAAGCCCACATATTTCAGTGTGATAGCGACCTCAGAAATCTGAGATAGCCAATTCGGCAGGACAAAGTCAAACAGAAGTGGCCAGATGGCTAAATATGAGTCCTTCTGTGGTTCATAGACTTCGGAGGCAATTTCAGACCACAGATTCGGCATCTAGGAGGTTCCGCCAAGGACGGCCAACTGCTACAACGAACGCCGATGACCGATATTTGACATTATGTGCACGCAGGAATAGAACCGCTACTCAGACTCTTCTTAGATCCTCCCTTGCTGCAGCCACCAGAAGGTTGTTGTCAACGTCAACTATGCGTAGAAGGCTTCGGGAAGGTGGTCTGTATGCGAGGCGACCAGCCTTCTGCGTCCCGCTCAAGTCACGCTATAGGAGGGACCGTTTGCAGTAGGCAAGACAAAATGTCTACTGGACGCTTCATTAGTGGGGGGCTGTTCCTCTTTACGGATGAGTCCAGGTTTAGTCCAGAAAGCGATAGTAGGCGTTATTTGATATGGAGAAAACCTGGAACCCGTTATCATCCGTCAAACATCCGTGAAAGAGATGCATACGGAAGAGGCAGTGTCTGTGTTTGGGGTGCCATCTCTTTGGGTGGACGCACAGACCTCCATGTTTTTCCAAGAGGAACCGGAAATGCTCAGATTTATAGAGATGACATCCTTGAAGTTTGTGTGCGCCCATATGCCGGGGCAATAGGTGTTGCTTTCCTGTTACAGGAGGATAACGCAAGATCACACAGGGCTTGCATCGTAAATGATTATCTTCAACAGGAAACAATTATGCGCATGGAGTGGCCAGCTCGATCCCCGGATTTGAAGCCTATCGAGCACGTTTGAGATGCTTTAGAGAGACGTCTAACTGCTCTCAATCCGCCCCTTCAGACCCTTGCCGCGATTGCAACTTCTTTGCAAGAGCAATGGTTCTCGCTTCCTATGGAACATAGACCTCATACTTGAAAGCATCACGCATCGCTGTATGTGCTCTATTGCTTCTAGACGCGACCATATTCCATATTGAAGGTACTTTTCCTATAGCAAACTGACACCTTCGATTTGTTCATTTTATACATGTGCTAATTTCTAGACTATCATAATTGTCTGGTAATTTCTTTTTATGTTATTTGATACCTTACTATGTGTTATATATTGTGGGTAAGTTTCGTTAAATTCTACATGTAACTTTTTCAGTAATCGTGATTTTTGTGATTTTTTTCTTAATTTATGATAACCAGTGTATATTGAATCCTGAATAATTAAATGAATCTGGCATAAATGCTATTTCTTCACCAGATGCAAAATATAGATATAATAATAATATTTTATTGAGAGATTTTAAATTACTCTCGATAAATTTACGCAATTGTATTTAAAAATTATATGGCAATTTGTATTCCAAATGTATATAAATATATGGTTTTTCGTCTGAACTGAATGTAGTAACAGAAACGAATTTTAAGTAATGATTACAGTTACCATTTTGCAGTCAATTACGCTTAAATACAAAATTTTTCGATATGAAGAATGTTGACAAATTTAGTTACTTGAAAACAGAAACCGAGATTGATAAAATCGAGGTTTTGCGGAGTATCCAACATGTGTTTGTATTTCTTTTAAAATTCTTTCATTATGGTAGCGAAATCTTCACAGTTGCTTACATTTGATCTAACTTCAAAATGAACATTTTCAGAAGAAATCGACTATGCTTTAATTATTTTGTACAGGAAATTGCATGACAAAATGTTTCCAACCATCTTGCTTAAAGCGCGTCAAAGGGTTATTTGACATGATAGAAATATCACTGGAAGCCCATTGGTGCAACCTAGAAGCCCCTCCCTCGGTAGCTACACAGATGAGCATTTGTGAAATATGCTGCCCGGACTTTTCAAACTATAAAACAAAGAGAGAAAAAATTTTTCTCTTCAATAAACTGGAAATATTTAAGATCCAGAGCAGTCATTTTGACTGCTTTCGAAATTTTACCTTAAATTCCTAAAAAACCCTCTACCTAAAAATGTCACAAAATTTTGGAATTTCCTAAAAGAAACTTTAAAATTATTGGTACCAAATATGAATCGAATAAAATTAAAATTATCAAAGATATTATTAGTTATACCTAAAAGCGCCACGAGCAGTCATATTGACTGCTAGTTTTATTGGATACATTTATCTTGTTATCTCGCTCAGAAAACACTTTATCCGCTAAAAACATATGGCGTACACATTCCTTTCATTCACTGATTATTTACAACAGGATATACTTCCCTTCCAATCAGAAAACTTTCTTCGTAGACGAGAAGTGAACCTGAAAGTCTTCCTGACACATTACATTTTCAGGAAGTAATGTGTCTTCTAAGAAATTCAGGTAGACATTTGACTGAGGACAATTATTTTTCTTCACTATCATTAGCTAAACTTAAAATGACTTAAAATGAAAAACACAAGTTCTGTGGGCACAGTAAGGAGACATCGAAAAGAAATTCCGCATTAACATAAACAAATCAAAACCCGGCTATTTGAAACAGTTTTGCTAAAGAATGGTGAAACTACACTGACGGTCTATCAGGGAAAAAGGAATACAAATGTCCGACTACTAAGTATCTTATACCCGGAGTGTAAATGTAGACTCATAAAATAAGAAGAAACTTCCAGAAACTGTAGAGTTCTACAACAAAATTAAATGTGGAGTTGATATCTTTGACCAGATGACGCGTAAATATTCTGTTCGGGTTACTTCACGTAGATAGCCTGAGCATGTTTCCTAAAATATGCTGGATTTAGCAAGAACGAATGCCTACGTTATATACCATAAATTGAGTGGTAAAAATATTACATGGCACAGCTTCCTATTTCGGTTAGCAAAGGAGTTAAGAGAGCTCCATTTAAATTTAAAAGCTCAGGATTGCTCAAAGAATCTAGCAATAGACTCTCGAAGAAAAGATATCAGTGCCAGATTGGACTTTGTAAAAACAACAAAACCAGTTATGTGTGTAAAACATTTTCATATTATGTGTGGGAAAAATGGGAAAAGTCCTTCCAGTACTAAAAACGTTGTGTTGTGCAAAACCTCTGTGCTGTTGAAAACGTTTGAAACAGATTGAAAACATTGTGTTGCGAAAAGCTACGAAAGGTGTTTTATTAAGGGTAATTTATCTATTTTTATAAAAATAATCTGTTGTTCTTTAAAGAAGTTCTTAAACACCTATAATTAATATTCTTAAAAGCCTTATAAAGCATTTACAATTTGATATATACATTTAATTCGCTGAGCAGTCAATTTGACTGCCGTTGACACTTCTAGGTAGGGAGAAAGCTCAGAGTGTTCAAATAATTATTTCATCATTTAAAACTGAAAACTAAGATCAAAATCCCTGAAAAGCAAATAATTATTTTATCATTTACAGACGAAATTGTTGTGGACGAACATTTTAGATAAAACAATGGTGGGAAAATATTTTTTAAAGCCTGATCATTAGAGATAGCTTGCAGAAATCATATCTTGGATCTATAAATAAAAGCGTTGTCTTCAAAACGTTCTAGCTAAAGAGAAAAATAACTGGATATAATCCTTTACAACTTTGAAGCGGGAAACAAAGCAAGTATAGGGTAATGAACACGAGTATTCTTTTTACAAAATTTTAATACAGGATGTAAAAAATCAACGAAAACACAAAATTAATTGGCTAAATCTAATTTCATTCAAAATATTAATCATACTTACATGCAGAAGGTAGAATTTAAAATATTAAGTATGATTAAGGATGAAATTACGCTGTTTAGAAGCGGAAAAACGATCTTTAATTGCTGTGTAACATGAAATTAATTTTGTTTATTTAATGTATTACAATATTGAAAAATAATTCCCCAGTATTTCTTCAATAACATAATTAAAAATTTCAATTTAAAAGCTGAAATCGGTTTTAGTAGTTTTACTTAATTTGCTAGAACTATTCAATAAATCTATATTTCTGCTTACTTCAAAAATCATTTGGCATAAAGTATGAATAAGAATATTTTGTGGTTTGTACATTACCTGCATGATCATAGCCCTGAGCGGTCGCAACAGCAGAGGCATCTGGAAAGTTATAATATAATACAGTTGAATAAGAAAATGAAACATCACAACACAAATCATTTCCAAAGACTAATTTCATTATCTATATTGAAAAGGCAAAGTTACGGGAATGCCCTTGGAATACATTTGAAATGAAATTGACTAATAAGACAAATCTATTGTTTATATACTGGAAAAATATTATATTCCAGAAATATTCCCGGATGTTTTTTTAAAATACATGCATTAAAAAGTGCACTTTACATGCTGAAATGGGTTCTGCATAATCAATTAAAATATTTAATGCATTCTATGTTATGCTTGTTGGATAGATCACTAAAATTCGAAATTCGAGAGAGGTAACTAAAAGAATTGTAAGAATATTTTCTAAATTATTTATTACCTCGTGATGCAGAGATTCGTTCGTTTGCATAGCCTTGAGCTCTTTCTTTAACTTTGTGCAATAACGCCAGGATTTTGATTCATTTAACATTTGATTAATTCAGTAACCATCTTTATCAGCATGGCTTTGTATAATTACAGGTAGAAACTAAACGTGTTGCTTAAAGAAAGAATAAATTGGTAACCTGGAAAATATTAAAATAAAAGTTTTCTCACATGTGTGTTATCTCTGAGTTTTCATCCAAACTAGCGGGAGAACAAGTTAAATGCAGCAAAATGTAGCACCTGACGTCACATGTAACATAATTTTGTGACGTAAACTCACATCAAATTCACATTTTCGCAAATTCCGCAGTTGTAAATTTCCTAAGCTGCGAACTATAATTCTATTCTTAAATGTGTTCTTAGTATTGACAAGAAGATTAAAATCTATACTGCTAATTATGTACTGCTTAGATCTCCATTTCTCCTCTTAACTAACTGTCAATTAATCTAAGTTATTACTCTTCTGGTAATATGTTTATATCCATTGTCGGATGTTTTCTCATAATTCAATTATTAAGGTTGTTGAACTAATTCCTTTCATATGAGGCTGAATTATTGTGTTCATTATTTTTTCTCACCTTAATTAGTGACGCCTTCTAAAACCCTTTCCCCTTTTCCATTGTAGAACTTATTTCACTTCATCAAATTCTGATTTCAAAAGAAGCTACTTTTTTTTGCCATTAAATTTGTTTGCATTCTTATTTAGAAATTTTCTGCTATTTCAGTTAAATTTACGACTTTGAAAAATATTATAAAATGCACTAAAACGGCTAGCTCGAGCGAATTCAGCCCGAATAAATAGAGGTAAGTTGTATAACAGAAGAAATGTAATCTTTATTAAAAGGAAAATTTACGATCAAAAGCATTCCAAAGAAAATAACTCTTTTTTCATTCACAGACAAATTCGTTATGAACCAAATCATCAGAGAAAACACATCATCAGATGGAAAGTTTCTCTGAATCATAATCATTAGAGAATGCAAAAAATATACCTCCGAATATTTAAACGCAGCCGTTGTAGTTAAAATTTTCTAGTCAAATAATTCTAGTCAAAACACAAAAAATAACTGTAAATAACCCTTTGTATATTTAAACATTGAAGCAGATAACTAAGCAAGTACTGGGCAATCACTCATATTTTTTTCACAAAACTATTATTCATGGTATAGAAAATACCAACACACAATTCATAGGGAAAACCTAATTTTATATAAAATATTTATAATTATTACATAGAAAAAGTAGATTTAAGTCGTAACATCACGAAATAAATTTATGAGAAACAGTCCTTAATTACTGTATATATATATATATACTGCCTAGAATATTTTTTGATGTCTGTATGAACGCGCATATTAAATTATGTCAAAGAAGTTAAGGTTGTAGGGTTTATATTTATTTTAACTAACATTTATTTCAAGTTTAAACTATCTTTCCTGTCAAGCCTTATTTTCTCCTGGAACTGCCAATGCCAGAGTATATAAATTTTAGTAGAACGTGCAAGGATTCAAATTATCAGCGGAAGTATTCTGAGTTAAATAGAAAGGAAACGAGTTCGAGATGTGCTGTTCTTACGTACTTCACGAGCGCGGAGGTAGTTACCCACCCCGAAAATTGAGAACCACGCGTTTCGGCCTGTGTGCTTGTCTCGGCCAATTGTTAATCGTTCAACGTGATATTCAAAGTTTGCTGAATTAGCAGCGGTATTGTAAAACGCGGTGAGGTTAGTTACGTTTAGAGAGCCTCGTAGTTAGTCTCTTGTATTATTTCTTTTCAGGTTCTTATTTTTTATTTTAACCGCCGGGTCGGCGTAGTTTGTGAGCGTCAAGAGCACGCATTTGTAATTTCTAAAGTTGAATAAAAAGGGACTTAAACCCTTCGCAGGACTCTGTCTAATTTCCAGTTTCAGCTGTCACCACTTGGTTGCGTGCAGGTTGGAGGCGCGCAACTGTACAAGGTAATATGTTAAAAGTACACAAATGCAGGTATAAAATACCAGCAGAATTTTTGCATTCAAATAAACATATAATATTTTCTCATAGCAGTTTTGAGAAATTTGTGCTTTCTAAGCGAAACGCCTGATAGGTCTGAGGGTTTAAACACAATGAATACTTTCCGGGTATTTCTTTTAACACATGAATTAAAAACTACGGTTCAACACCAAAAATACATTTTAGTAGCGTCACTTAATCTATCAGAATTTTCGGTAAATAGATATTTCTTCTTAATTAAAAAAAATCTTTATTTTTCAATTAATTCTTAATATTGGTTTAGCAAAAATATTTCGTGACTTGTTCATTACCTGGAAGTGCATAGCCTGGAACACCTGCATTCTGTGCGGCTGCAGCAGCAGCAGCAGCAGCCGAACCACCTGCAAAATTGAAGTAGAAATGACTTTAAAGTAGATATTGAAAATTCAAAACACAAATCACTTACTAAAACTAATTACATAGACAGAAGTGGCAAGATTTAAACTGAGGAGGTCATCTCGGGCCAGCTGAGTACGAATAAATTTCAAACTAAGTTGAATAATTTTAAGAAACGCGTTGTTTATTTAACTGAAAATTTATTACACTATTAGAAAGTATTCCAGCCTATTTTTTTCAAAAGACTGGTGTGTTACAGAAGAGAGCATAAAGGCTTACTTACATGGTGTGCGAAACACTCAGTAATATGTTAGTAAAGTTGTAGCGTCTCTGCTTACTGGAAAGATTACTAACATCCGGAATCAGCTAAAAAACAATTGCTTGGTACAATTCGACAGCCTCATCCGAGAACATAATTATAAACACGCATGGACCTATCGGACCGTATTATTCTCAAATAGGGTGGAAAGATGGGGACTTTCTTTCCCTCCAGCATATCTTTTTAAAGAAAAGTGAATATTTTCAGGTGACCTCTCACGTCGCAGCAAGTAATAACGCTCCTTTTAGACCAGTCTAAGTGTTTTGGAAGAATGCCAACCAGGGTTGCTTTTGGGACGGTTGAACTGTAGAAGAAACGGAACTTTTACTAACCGGAAATTTTACTATCGAAACCATACCGAAGGAAATAATTATTATATGAGGAAACCAGAGAATAGCAACACCGCTTATATGGACGCTCTTATGGGGGAAAGAGCTATCAAGCTAACTCATCGAACCTCGAAGGTCAAGGCCCAAAAAGGAAATTTGAAAACAAACGTCCGCGTACCCAGAAGGCAGAAGTTGAAAGGAAAGCTTTAAACGAGTAGAGGGGCCTGTGAAAGCGAGGGTCCAGACCCCGGAAGTTTTAAAAAAAACCCTCAAAAAGACATTTAAATACGGTCATCGTAAAAAACTCACATCTACCAATTATACAAGTCCTGGTTGGCGATGTACCAGTAGAAGCCCTCATCGATACAGGAGCAGAAGGTAATTTTATGAGTGAAACATTCTTCAAAAAGAATTTTTATAGGTTACGATTATTTAAAAACAAAACACAGAAATTATAGCGGCGCAAGGAAAAACCTGTCACTGCATCGGGAAATTATCATTAAACATACAGGTAAAAGAGGAAAGCCTCAAAGTATTAATTTTTGTAGTAAAATTTTGCAAAATCCTCTTATTTTAGGTATGGAGCTTTTAAGGGCCGCGAGGGCCAAAATTGAATTTTCAAGGACAGTTCTATTGTGCTGGAGATGGACCAGAGGGTGGTGGAACCTGTGGAACAACCGCAAGTTGACCTTAGCCATTTGAATGACCATGAAAGTCAAGCCATCCAGCAAGTGGTGAGTAATTTTTCTAACTTGTTTTCAGAAAAGCCTGGTAGCTGTCAAATAGTTACGCATCAGATACAGTTAACTGCCGAAAAACCTTGTAGGACTAAACCGTATCGTTATGATAAACAAAAAGACCTAATCATCGAAGAACATATTCAGGAAATGTTAAAGAACAAAATAATAACGCCCATAAATAGTGAGTACGCGAGTCCAGTCGTACTATGTAGGAAAAAGAACGAGTTTCCTCCTTCGGATAAAAGGGCTTGGAGGTTTGCTATCGATTACAGAAAACTGAATAGTATTACTAAATTCCCAGTTTACCCTTTGCCGGTTATAGAGGAAATTATTAGAAAGATTAAATCTACAAGATACATGACTACTTTGGACTTAACGTCTGGCTACTATCAAATAGCTATGAGACCCGAAGACATACATAAAAACCGCGTTTATAACAAAATCGGGCACTTATGCATTTTTACGCATGCCCTTTGGGTTGTGTGGGGGCCCCATCAACATTCCAGAGAGCTATGGACATTGTTCTAAAGCCTGTCCTAGGAAAATCGACTTTAATCTATCTAGATGATATAATTATAACGAGTAGTACGTTGGAACAACATATTAAAGATCTAGAAGAAGTTTTTAAATTATTAAAAGAGGCCGGTCTTACAATTAACGCCTCAAAATGCAAGTTCGCAACTAAAGAACTTAAATATCTGGGTTATAAAATTTCGCAAAAGGGTATAGAAACTCAAGATTCAAAAATAAAAGCAATCAAGAATTTCCCACCGCCCAACACCGCCAAGAAACTTTCTTCTTTCCTTGGGTTATGTTCTTACTATCGGTCATTCATAAAAGATTTCGCTAATATTGTTGAACCCCTGTTAGTAATTAAAAGAAAGAAAAGTAAATTTACGTGGACAGCGGAAGCAAATACCGCATTTGAAAGATTAAAAGAAGCGCTCATCAATGCCCCTGTTTTGAAATTCCCGGAGGGGGACGAAAACCTGGAAATTGCAGCAGATGCGTCGGACTATGCGGTGGGTGCGGTTCTTATGCAAAATAGCCATCCTCTGGCATTTTTTAGTAAAACGTTGAATCATACACAAAGGAATTATACAGCTACAGAGAGAGAAACATTAGCCGTATTAATGGCTGTACACAAATTTCGAGTTTATTTCGGCAAAGCGCCAGTAACAGTCTTTTCGGATCATGCGGCTGTTGGTAGACTTTACTTTACTCGGGGAAAAACCTAACGCCCAGGTTAATAAGATGGGCTTTAAAACTCCAAGAATATAATCTAATAATAAATATAAACCGGGTAAGGAAAACAATGTAGCTGACGCACTTTCTCGTATAAAACTGGACGATGAAGGAAATGAACTTAAATGCGCTGTGTTGACTTCAAAAATTTTAGATTCTAGAGATACAATTATCGCTGAACTGAAAGCTGATCCTGAATTTGGAAGTATCTATGCATATTTGAAAGACCCCGAAAGCTTTGAGCACACAGATATCGATGCGATAAGAAATAGAGCAGAAAACTATGAAATAATAGATAATTTATTATTTTATACGAAAACAACAAACGAAAATCTCGAGTACAAACCAGTCATCCCAGCCTCGCTTCGATTAAGCATTTTGAAGGAATTACACGACGCGAAAACAGCGGGTCATTTAGGGGTCAGAAAGACTTTAAAAAGGGTACGCGAGGCGGTATATTTCCCGCAATTATACAAAATAGTAACTGCGTATGTCAGGTCCTGCAATCAATGTCAGTTAATAAATGATATTAATTACAGCCCGGCCGGGTACTTAAATAGCATTCGCGCCACATTTCCGAATGAAATTTTAGGCATAGATCTTCTTGGTCCCTTCCCCCAGAGTGAGTTAAATAAAAATCGTTTTCTTTTAGTAATTGTAGATCACTTTTCAAAATGGACAGAAATTGTTCCACTTAAACGCGCGTCAGCCAAAACAGTCGCAGATGCATTCTTACACACATACATTTTAAAATACGGTGCACCGATAAAAGTCATTAGCGATAACGGAAAACAATTCATTAGTCAAATATTTGAAAACATATGCACTGGACTTGGCATACGCCATATCAAAATGGTTCCGTATAGACCACAGGCAAACATAGCAGAAAGAGTTAATAAAAACATTGTAAAAATAATTCGCAGTTACGTTAGCACACATCACAAGCGCTGGGATGGCTACATAAATGAGTTAGCTTATGCTTTAAGAACGGCAAATCACGATACTACGGGAAAAACCCCAGCAGAATTATTTTTAGGCCGAAAGTTAATTACGACGCCTTTAGATAAATTATTCTTTGTGCAACAAAGAGAGCAAGAAGTTTAAACAGAAAGATGTGCAAAAACTTATTGATCAGGCTTAAAAGCTCGGATACGGCAAGAAATAAGCAAAAAATATATTATGATAGAAAACGCCGTGAAGCAGATTTTAAAGTTGGGGATAAAGTATTGAAGCGAAAATTTTCTTTATCAAGTGCCCCAGATAATTTTACTGCAAAGTTAGCTCCAAAATTTGACGGCCTCTATGTAATTCAGGAAATCAAAGGAGTCGTATTGTACCTTAAGAACGAGAGAGAGGGGAAATCTGTAAAGCAAGTCCCGACCAGGTGAAAAAATACTATAATCAAAATGATTTTGAAATCCTTAAAAGTTTCTTGCAGGACTCAAGCGTAAAAGAAGTAGAAGGTCCAGAAATAACGTCACCCGTTCCACCACCCAAGAAGCAGAGAACTGAAGAGAGACCTAGCCCTTCTACAACCCAGGCGACGGTACCGAAAAGAAAAAACGAAAACTTTCAGACTCCAGCATTTAAGAAAAACAAGAATGCAAAGCCACCGCGTAAAGAAACCTTGGTAAAGAGGAAAACACCACCTACAACGTATCGCAGTAGAAATTATACATCAAGGAGAACGCTCCCAGGGCCAGAGAGTCAGGTGCAAACAAGGCCGCCGTTCCGGAAACTAAAAAGACAGCAGGAGGAACGAAAAGACCAGCAACAACAGAAGAAATTCAAGAAGGACTCCAGACCGGAGGACGTCAAGACCAGCCGTCCAAGGGAAAAACGAAAAAGACAGCAACCCGACGACTACTACGCCAAGAGGCCAGCATGCAGAGGACGCAAAAGAAAAACTAATGTGGACGACACTCGGAGGTCAGTAAGGAGAAGATTGACGTCCATGAAACCTATAACGTGGGAACAGTTCTGCCAGAAAAGAATGACGGAGTTTCAATCATCGAAAACTCAAAGATAAGTTAAAATCTTCTATAAAATTTTTCTTTTGTTCCGAAATGTTATGCGTAAAGTACGAAGTTCTATGTTTTGACGAAAGTCAATATGTCTCGGTTGAGACTTAGTTTTGTTTTACTTTATTTAGCTAAGGCAAAAGTATTATTTTCTTTAAGTATAAAATCTAAGAACAAGCAGTTTTCTGTTGGTCGAAAGACTAATTCTGTTATGTTAAAGCCAAAATTTGGCCGAAGATAAAAATAACTTCGTATTCTTGTATTAATAAGAACTTTAGTTTCAGTGCCGCCAGCTTGGCGAAGAATGAGTAAAGTAAAAATTTATTTTCTCTTATTCATTTTATGGTAAATTGTAAAAATCATATGTATTAGAATTTTGTAAATATACGTAAATACTTGAAATGTTATGTAAAAGTAGAATTTAGTCTAGAAGCATAAAATTTTAGATGCTAAAAGTAAATGCTCAAAAGCAATGAATTCAAAATTTAAGTATTAAACTGTAGATAAAATCATGCTTTAGAGCGAAAGCCTGCATGTCTAAAGATGAATGAGGGGGAAGTTAGAATGAATGTGTTTTGTAGGGTTCTCCACCTACACTTGAATTTTAAGAATGTTAAAGTAGCTCATCGAGTTGTAGAATGTCGAGTAAGGTGTGTCTATTTGGTCGTTGAATTCTAACAAATCATTGGTGGTTAGGGGAAGTGTTGTAATACTAAAACACGAATATTCCCGTTTGACACCACACATGGTGGAGAGCCAGGGTAAAGTTAAATTAATGTTTGAATACTTGAATGAATGTGAATTAAGCAGTAACTAAGGGAAAATAAATCGTTTAAAAACAAAAATTTATTCAGTGTCAAGAAAGTGTAAATTATAATGTATTTAGAAAGATACTGATACTTATTCCTTCCAGATGCTGGAAGGAAAAGAACAAGATTGATTGCTGAAGTCCAGGAAAAGTTGCTGTAAGAAGAGAGATTTAAATAAGTATCTACAGAAATTTAGTATACCTTTTGTGACATAAGATTTTTTTTATGTAAACGAGGCTCTTAAAAGTTAGTTCAGAATTGTAGAAACTTTACAACAGGTCGTTTGTAGGACCTGCTTCCAAGTTTTCCAAATTCTGGCAGCGGCAAATGTAGGGTTTATATTTATTTTAACTAACATTTATTTTAAGTTTAAACTATCTTTCCTGTCAAGCCTTACTTTTCCCTGGAACTGCCAATGCCAGAGTATGTAAATTTTAGTAGAACGCGCAAGGATTCAAATTATCAGCGGAAGTATTCTGAGTTAAATAGAAAGGAAACGAGTTCGAAGGTGTGCTTTCTTACTTCACGAGCGCGGAGGTAGTTAGCCAGAAATTGAAGAACCACGCGTTTCGGCCTGTGTGCTTGCCTCGGCAGAATTGTTAATCGTTCAACGTGATATTCAAAGTTTGCTGAATTAGCAGCGGTATTGTAAAACGCGGTGAGGTTAGTTACGTTTAGAGAGCCTCGTAGTTAGTCTCTGTCTTGTTATTATTCTTTTCAGGTTTCTATTTTTTATTTTACCGCCGGGTCGGCGTAGTTTGTGAGCGTCAAGAGCACGCATTTGTAATTTCTAAAGTTGAATAAAAAGGGACTTAAACCCTTCTCAAGACTCTGTCTATTTCCAGTTTCAGCAGTCACCACTTGTTGCGTGCAGGTTGGGGCGATGACAAGAATATTTAAAGTCCAACGAGTATAAAACAGCGAATTTTGCATTCAATAAAATTAAATTCTATCGTTTTGAAATTGGTTTTAGCGAAACCCTAAGTCTGAGGTTACACAATGAATACTTCGGTATTCTTTAACACAGTTAAAAACGGTCAACACCAAATACATTTTAGTAGCGTCACTTAATCTATCAGAACTTTCGGTAAATAGATATTTCTTCTTAATTAAAAAAATCTGTATTTTTCAATTAATTCTTAATATTGGTTTAGCAAAAATATTTCGTGACTTGTTCATTACCTGGAAGTGCATAGCCTGGAACACCTGCATTCTGTGCGGCTGCAGCAGCAGCAGCAGCCGAACCACCTGCAAAATTGAAGTAGAAATGACTTTAAAGTAGATATTGAAAATTCAAAACACAAATCACTTACTAAAACTAATTACATAGACAGAAGTGGCAAGATTTAAACTGAGGAGGTCCTCTCGGGCCAGCTGAGTAAGAATAAATTTCAAACTAAATTGAATAATTTTAGAAACGCGTTGTTTATTAACTAAAAAATTATTACACTATTAGAAGTAGTCCAGCTATTTTTTCAAAAGTAGTGTGTTACGAAGAGTAGCATAAAGGCTTACATTGTAAACACTCAGTAATATTTAGTAAATTGCGCGTCTCTGCTTACTGGAAAGATTACTAACATCCGGAATCAGCTAAAAAACAATTGCTTGGTACAATTCGACAGCCTCATCCGAGAACATAGTTATAAACACGCATGGACCTATCGGACCGTATTATATTACCTATCGGACCGTATTAAATTATTCTCAAATAGGCTGGAAAGATAGGGAGTTTCTTTCCCTCCAGCATATCTCTTTAAAGAGAAGTGAATATTTTCAGGTGACATTTCACGTCGCAGCAAGTAATAACGCCCCTTTTAGACTAGTCTAAGTGTTTTTGCAGAATCCCAACCAGGGCTGCGTTTGAGACGGTTGAACTATAGAAAAAAAGCAATTTTTACTAACCAGAAATTTTACGAAATCCTTCTGAAGGAAATAATTTTTTTTTTCTTTACAGACGAAGCCGTTTCAAAAAATAATGGTAGGCTAATATTTCTCTAAAGAATAATCGTTAGAAATAGTGAATACAAAAAAGATATCTTCAAATAATTAAAATTATTAATATTTAAATTTGAAATGAAATTGACTAATAAGTCAAATTTATTGTTTATATACTGCAAAATTAATATATTTCAGAAACATACCGAGATATTTTTTCAAAATACACGCGTTATAAAGTGCGCATTAAATGGTAAACTTGGTTCAGTACCTCTTCTTTATCAATTAAAAATATTTAATGTATTGTAAGTCTCTGTTTATTGGAAAGATCACTTATATCCGTAATTCGCGATAAGAATCTAAAGGATTTAAATTATCTAATTTATTTATTACCTCGCTATGCACAGACTCGTTGGCATACATAGCCTCGAACTCTTTCCCGTGTATCTACAAATATTCAACATTGTCCAATTACACAAGGAATTTGCTTTATTTAAAATTTGTCTAGTTTCGTAACCATGTTTATTAGCATGGCATAGCTTGTATAATTACAGGTAGAGATAAAAATGTTTCCTTAAAGAAAATAATAAATTGGTAACCTCGAAAAATATTAAAATAATTGTTTGCTCACATGTGTGTATCTAGGAATTTTCATCGAAACTAGCGGGAGAAAAATCTAAATGCAGCACCTGACGACAGCTATAACATAATTTTATGACGTAAACTCACATGAATTTCACATCGTTGCAAATTTTCTAACTGTAAATTTCCTAAGGTACGAACTATATTTCTATTCTTAAATGTACTCTTAGTATTCACAAGACGATTAAAATCTGTACTGCTTATTTTCTACTGTTTTGATCTTCATTTCTCCTCTTAAGTAACTGTGAATTAATTTGTTATTCTTCAGGTAATATGTTCATATACATTATCCGATGCTTTCTCATACTTGGAATATTAAGGTTGCTGTTATAAACCTTTTCACATGAGTCTTACTTATTGTGTTCAATACTTGTTTTTATCTTAATTAGTAACGCCTTCTGGTACATTTTACCGCCTAATTGTAGAACTTATTTCACTTCATCAAATTCTCATTTCAAAAGAAGCTACTTTCTTTTACCATTAAATTTGTTTGCAATCTTATTTGGAAACTTTCTGCTGTATCAGTTTAGTTTACGACTTTAAAAAAGTTATAATTTACACTGTAAAGGCTATCTCGAGCGAATTCAGCCCGCAAAAATAAGGGTAATTTGCACGAAAAAGACATATAATCTTTATTAATAGAAAAATTTACGATCAAAACCATTCCGAAGAAAATTACCCTTCTTTCATTTCAAGACAAATTCGTTATGAAGCAAATCATCAGAGAAAACACATCAAAAGATGAAATGAAGCAGAAAACTAAGCAAATACTGTGCTATCACTCATATTCTTTTTCACAAAACTGTTATAGAGGATGTAGAAAATCACGCACAAAAATTCATTGGAAAAACCTAATTTCATATAAAATATTTATCATAATTACATAGAAAGGGTAGACTTAAGCAGTTACATCACTGAATAAATTTATGAGAAAGAGTCTTTAATTACTGTATATATTACTCTATTACGGCCTAGTATATTTTTTTTATGTCTGTAAGTACGTATATATACGTGCACATTAAAGTATATCAAAGAATTTAAGGCAATATATTAAAAGTACACAATCGTATGTACAGAATACCAGTAGAAGTTTTGCATTAAAATAAAAATATAATATTTTCTTATAGCAGTTTTGATAAATTTGTGGTTTCTTATCGAAAACCTTGATCGGTCAGATGGTTAAAACGCAGTGAATTATTTCAGGGCATTTCTTCGAACACATGAATTTGAAACAAATTTTTTAGCAGCAAAAATACATTTTATAGCCTCTTAATCTACGAGAACTTTCAATAAATGGATATTTCTGCTTAATTGAAAAATCTTTATTTCCCAATTAATTCAAGCATTGGTTTAGCAAAATTATTTCGTGACTTGTTCATTACCTGGAAGAGCATAACCTGGATGACCTAAGTAGCCTGGAACACCTGCATTCGCTGCGGCTGCAGCAGCAGGACCACCTGCAAAATTAAAGTAGAAATGACTTTGAAGTATATATTGAAAATTCACAACACAAATCAATTAATGAGCGTAATTTCATAGACAGAACTGGCGGAATTTAAACTGATGAGGTCGTCTCGAGCCAGCTGAGTACGAATAAATTTCGAACTAAATTGACTAATTTTAGAAACGCCTTATTTATTTACTGAAAAATGATTTCGCTAGAGATGTATTCCTCCGGCTTTTTTTTTTCAAAAGACGTGTGCTACAAAGGTAGTATAAAGGCTTAAATTGTAAACGCTCCGAAATATTTAGAAAATTGCATGTCTCTGCTCACTAGGAAGATTACTAAATCCAAAATTGGCTAAAAGTATCAAAATTATTTATAGGAATATTTTCTGATTTGACCATTACCTTGAGATAAAAGATTCGTTAGTCTGCATAGCTTTGCGGTTCTATAGATGTGTCAACCAATCTTTAAGTGCTTGCAAAGAAAATAATCTTTTTGACATTTTGAGAGGAAATCGTTACGAACGATATTATTAGAAAATGCATTGGCATAGAATCTGTTTCTCTAAAAGATAACTATCAGAAAACTTTAATTGAAAATACACATCTCCGAATATTTAAACATAACCGTTGTCGTCCAATGGCAGGAGTCAAACCATTCAAATAAACGTTAGAAAATAACCTTAAATAACGCAGTGTAACTAGAACCAGGATTCAATACCATTATTGCGTAATCGCGCATAGGTACCTTTTGCAAAATTTTAATGGAGGTTATATCTTGAATCCTGAATCGTTAATTTCGCTAATGCTCTCAACTACATAAGCGTTTTTACCAATATATCAGGTATGTCATTGGCCACTCGTAATTTTAAAATAGATCAAGGGTGCATGAGCACTGCGTCCGAAGACGAAAGATAGTCGAGATGGCAAAGCCTCGAGGTCAAGCTTCTGTTTAGTGGCCTACCTGGTGGGAAAAATCCTCTCTGTAGGGGTTAAAAAGTTATTCGCCGAACCCAATCACGTGGGAGATCACCCTCCCATGAACTGACCCCGCGAGATGCTGCTTGAAACAGTGAGCTGTGAATTGAGTTAATTTTTGGGAAAATAAGATCAAGCCCTGTAATATTCTGCATAATTAATTCAAATACATATCTAATTTTCATCTTCTGCAATTTTTTCGAGCCACATGGCAGTTTTAAATCCTGCAGTTAGTTTTTTAATGTTGTCTTTGCTTTTTTGACACGATCAATATGTTTGATGAAGGTTCCTGACAAATTTTGAACTTTTTCGTCTCGGAGCCATGAAACTGCTGCATTGAATTAACTTGAGATTGCACCTTTTCTTGACTGTGTTTTTTCACTGTAGAGTTTCCTGCTAGGTTATTCTTCAGATGTTTCAACGGTAATTATTTGCGGGAAGTCTTCTGCTTTTGGGATGGAAGGTTTAGGTTTCTGCACAGGTTTCTCAAATATGCGTCGTTATTCAGAGCATCCACGATAACTACATACATGTGGTTCTTTGCAGAAAATGCAGGTGGGCTTATCTTCTTCTTTTAACGTGCAGACATTGCGTCTGTGCGGTCCATGGTATTTAACACATTTTTTTTTTTTTTTTTTTTTTTTGGATTTGTGCATAGGGGCTGGGAGTGTCCCCACTCCTGGCGCCTAAAGCACTGAGTAAGTCTTTTCTTAGGCTTCCATTTTTTTATGCTGATATTTATGCTGAACATATTATTGAGGTTATAAATCGCTTGGCCACTTGAGTTTTTCTTTATAATTCTAGATGCCAGATTTGGAGTCTCTTGAAATAGTTTTTGCGGGATTATTCGATTTGTCTCACTTTTATGATTGGGAATTTCCTTCTTTGTAGATCTTCAAAGATTGCCTCTTCTGGGTTTTTATCAGGTTAAATTTTTCAGTACTACTTTTATTGGTTTTCCCAGCTTATTTGGTAGGTGTAGAAAGGTACCCCTTACTTGTTAAGCATTTCTGTAATTGCACGATAATCTTCTTCATTCTTCAACTGAACGAAGATAGCTCGGCCCTTCATTCGAGCTTCGAATTCATCAATGCAGTTTTGTCATAGATAGCCTTCAACTTTAGTACAGTCGATTTGTCCTTGCTGAAATACTACTATGGGGAACGGAGTTTCATCTGCTTTGGCTCCTCCTTCTGCAGCGTCAACTTCAGTATCTAATCTTTCGAAGGGATTTTTCTTTTCAATTTCCATCGGCTCTGAGCTTTGGGCTGGATTTGCAAATTTCTTTTGTAATTTTCATTCTCTTTCTTTGTAAAAATGTGTTTCTAGTTTGTTGCATTATCTTTTTCTTCCTGCTCTGCTTCTACTCCTTTTTTTTCCTGTTACTTTCTCAAAATAATACAGAGACTTCCTACGCCGTTGCTGGTGTATCATCATATTGATTGCTTCTAAGCCAAATTCTGGTATTAAATCCTCTTGTTCCTTAACAGATAGATCATGAATGTTATCCGTATTGTGCCTAGTCTTCACCACTTCACGTAATTCTTCCTGGACATTCCTTGCCGTTTCTGCTTTCTTGATTTTCTTTTTCAGAGATTTCATGAAATCTTGTTTTCTTAGCTTGTGTGACTTCGTTGATTTGAAAGATCTGTCCAAATCCGTAGCGGTATCTTCTTCATCCGTTTTAGACGATGGTGTCCTAAAAAAGAGCACTTTTGCGTACCCGAGGGTACCTTATTCAGTTAAAGTAGCTTCGAACACAAAATCGCTAAAAGCTGAGCTGTCTGCCTACGGCACTGGGACAGTCTACGATAATCCTCCACATCGAGTGAGTTGAGAGCCTACGTTCCAGGATTCCGTAGGATATACATATTTAAAAGGAGAAGGCTCACTCAGGTGAGTTCTCTGCGAAGAAACTGCAAACGTCTTTGACTAATATCAGAAATGCACGGTTTATTTAATAAAAATGTGTTTCGTTGGAGACAAATTCAGAATTCCCTTTTTTCAGAACAGATACGCTGCAAAGTGCACTCTAAAGGCTTTATACCTCTTCTTAATCAATCAGAAATATTTAATGAATTCTATGTCTTTGCTTACTGGGCAGATCACTAAATCTCGGCTAACTTCGATGAGTTTTCTACGAATCAAGCTGAAAACCAATTGCCTGATATAGTTGGACAGCTTCATGAGTGCAAACACGCGTGCACCATACGGACCTGATTATTCTCAAATACGGTAGAAGGATGGGGACATTCCTTCCCTCCAGCATTTCTCTTTTCTGAGAAGATTTTCACGTGACCTTTTACGTCGCAGTAATTAATAAAGCCCCTTTTAGACTAGTCTAAGTGTTTTGGCAGAATGCCAACCAGGCCTGCGTTCGAGACGGTTGAACTATAGAAGAAAAGCAATATTTTCTAACCGGAAATTTTACGATTGAAATCCTTCCGAAGGAAACAATTTTTCTGTTATTTACAGAAGAAGCCTTTTAAAAAAATAATGCTAGGGAAAATATTTCTCTAAAGAATAATCGTTAGAGATAGTTAATACAAAAAAAGACATCTTCAAATATTTAAAATTATTAATATTTAAACTTTGAAATGAAATTGGCAAATAAGTGAAATTTATTGTTTATATACTGCAAAATTAATATATTTCAGAAACATACCGGGATATTTTTTCAAAATACACGCGTTAGAAAGTGCACTTTAAATGCTAAATTGGTTCAATACCTGTTCTTTATAAGTTAAAAATATTTAACGTATTGACTAATATTCGGAGTTGTTTGTTGGGAAGATCACTAATATTCGGAATTCACGATAAGTATCTAAAACATTTATATTTTCCAATTTATTTATTACCTCGCTATGCACAGACTCGTTGGCATGCCTAACCTCGAACGCATTCCATGTTTCTACAAATATTCAACTTTGTCCAATTACACCAGGAATTTGATTTATTTAACATTTCCCTAGTTTTGTTACCATGTTTATTAGCATGGCATGGCTTGTATAATTACAGGTAGAGATAAAAATGTTTCCTTAAAGAAAATAATAAATTGGTAACCTCGAAAATATGAAAATAATTATTTCTTCACATGTGTCTATCTAGGAGTTTTATTCTAACTAGAGAGAGAAAAATATAAATGCAGCAAAATGCACGCAGATATAACCGTGACGTAAACTCAGCTATACATCGTCGAAAATTTAACTGTGCAAATTTCCGTAAGCTACGAACTATAATTCTATTCTTAAATGTATTCTTAGTATTGAATATTAGAAACTGTACTGCTTATTTTCTACTGTTTAGATCTCTATTTCTCCTCTTAAGTAACTGTCAATTTTTTTAACATGTTATTCTTCAGGTAATATGTTCATATCCATTGTCCGATGCTTTCTCATACTTCGATTATTAAGGTTGCAGAACTAATTAATCCTTTTCATATGAGACTTTGTGTTCATTATTTCTTCTTATTTTAATTAGTAACGCCTTCTGGTAAAATTTCCAGCCTGATTGTGAAACTTATTTCACTTGATCAAATTCGCATTTCAAAAGAATCTACTTTTTTTTTACCATTAAATTTGTTTGCATTATTATTTAGAAAGTTTCTGCTATTTCAGTTAAATTTTAAAAAGTTATCATTTCTCTGAAAAGCCTAGCTCGAGCGAATTCAGCCCGCAAAAATAAGGTAATTTGCACAACAGAAGAGATGTAATCTTTATTTATAGAAACATTTACGATGAAAACCATTCCGAAGAAAATTACCCTTTTTTCATTTCCAGACAAATTTGGTATGAACCAAATCATCAGAGAAAACACATCAAAAATTAAATGTTTCTCTATATCATGATTATCTGAGAAAACACATCAAAAGATAAAATGTTTCTCTAAATCATGTTCATTAGAGAATACAAAAAATACAAGTCCCAATATTTAGACACAGCTGTTGTAGTCAACACTGTCTAGTCCAATAATTGTAGTCAAAACACAAAAAATAACTGTAACCCTTTATATATTTAAACATTGAAGCAGAAAAGTAAGCAAGTGCTGGGCAACCACTCATATTGTTTTCTCACTAAACTGTTATTGAGGATATAGAAAATCACCAACACAAATTCATTGGAAAAACCTAATTTCATATAAAATATTTATCGTAATTACATAGAAAGAGTAGACTTAAGCAGTAACATCCATGAAACAATTTATGAGAAAGAGCCTTTAATTACTGTATATATTACTGTATTACGGTCTTTAATATTTTTGTGATGTCTGTAAGAATATATATACAGTCAAAAGTCGTTAATCTGGACTCATCGGGACTTCGGCGATTCCGGATTATCGATTTTTCCGGATTATAGATCATCAGTTTAAATCTGGTAAGATGGCATGCAGAAATTCTAAAATTAAAAATATGAAACCGTAATTTATGAAATAAAGAACAATTATGATCTAAAGGGTATCAAAATCTGCAAAAAGAAAAAGCTTAATAATTATTTGTTTACTTTATTAAACATTTCTTTCAATGTAAGTTGTTTAAGTTTTGCTTCGTTTCATGTGATAATACTTTCTCTTTCATTCTATGAAACAGACATAATTTCTTGTTCAGTTACAAAGTTCCGCTGTTCAAGTCCTATAATTGCTGTGTCGAGAACACCGACTAATTTGCCAATCGAAATTTTTTCGTTTTCAATAACCTCTGTCACTTTCTTCGCTATCGGAAGCGAATTATAATGACGAGGAACTTGTTTTAAATCATATCAAAGACGGGGCATATCGAGATGAAATACTACATTTGGTAAGGAATTATAAGCCAAATAAAATAAAAGCATCTGCGCTGAAGATAAGTGCATAATAGTAGATAAACATAATAGTGCTGACAGATCAACTTCCAATTCATTACGCCCCCGCCGAGCAGCGTGAAATTGATAAACACATTTCGGATTTCAAAACATGCTTTCGCTTTAGATAGTTTACATATTAACATATATATATCGGAAATTCTATTTGATATAATCGAAAGTTTACGCTTACTTTTATAAAATTGCTCTTACAGTCCGCAAAAAATAATAAGCCGGATCCAATTCGAAAATTAAGGAAGAACGCAATCATCAACATTAAATGAAATAGATAATTAGATAATTTTAGCTTATACGTCCATTATACATAAAACGCGCACGCGAAAACGTATTCCGCACTTGCGCACACTCATATGCGCAGTCGTAAAACGTCTTACGCGCACGCGTAAACGCCTGTGCACATGTGTCAACGCGGCGCATGCACAGAAAGATTTTATTTTTGAGGTCCGGATTATAGATCATTCCGAATTATGGGTGTCCGAATTAACGACTTTTGACTGTATATATATATGTGCATATTAGAGTATGTCAAAGAATTTAAAGCAATATATTAAAAGTTCACAAATGCAGGTATAGAATACCAACAGAATTTTCGCATTAAAATGAAAATACAATATTTTCTCATAGCAGTTTTGAGAAATTTGTGCTTTCTTATCGAAAACCCTTATCTGTCAAACGATTAAAACACAATAAATTATTTCCGAGCATTTCTTCAAACACGTGAATTAAAAAGTACTTTTTAACTGCAAAAATACATTTTAGTAGCGCCTCTTAACCCACGAGAAATTTCAATAAATGCATATTTCTGTTTAATTGAAGAATCTTTATTTCCCAACTAATTCAAGCACTGGTTTAGCAAAATTATTTCGTGACTTGTTCATTACCTGGAAGTGCATAGCCTGGATGACCTAAATAGCCTGGAACAACTGCATTCGGTGCGGGTACAACAGCAGGACCACCTGTAAAATTGAAGTAGATATTGAAAATTTACAACACAAATCAATTACTGAGCCTAATTTCATAGAAAGAATTGGCGAGATTTAAACTTAAGAGGTCATCTCGGCCCTGCTGAGTACGAATAAATATCAAACTAAATTGACTAATTTTAGAAACGCGTTGTTTATTTACTGAAAACGTATTATGCTATACATGTATTCCGGCGGGTTTTTTTTTTTTTTTTTTTTTTTTTTTTTTTTTTTTTTTTTTTCAAAAGACGTGTGTTACAAAGGGTAGTATAAAGGCTTAAATTGTAAAAGCTCAGAAATATTTAGAAAATTGCATGTCTCTGCTTACTAGGAAGATTACTTACATCCAAAATTGGCTAAAAGTATCAAAATTATTTATAGGAATATTTTCTGATTTGACCATTACCTTGAGATAAAAGATTCGTTAGCCTGCATAGCTTTGAGGACCTATAGCTGTTTCAACCAATCTTTAAGTGCTTGCAAAGGAAATAATTTTTTGTCATTTAGAGAGGAAATCGTTATGAACGATATTCTTAGAAAATGCAGTGGCAGAGAATCTGTTTCTCTAAAACAAATCTATCAGAAAAATTTAATTGAAAATACACATCTCCGAATATTTAAACATAACCGTTGTTGTCCAATGGTAGAAGTCAAACCATTCAAAAAAACTTTAGAAAATAACCTTAAATAACGCAGTGTAACTAGAACAAGAATTCAATACCATTATTGCGTAATCGCGCATATGTACCTTTTGCAAAATTTTAATGGAGGTTATATCTTGAATCCTGAATCGTTAATTTCGCTAATGCTCTGAACTACATAAGCGTTTTTACCAATAAATCGGGTAGGCCATTGGCCGCTCGTAATTTTAAAATAGATCAAGGGTGCATGAGCACTGCGTCCGAAGACGAAAGATGGTCGAGATGGCAAAGCCTCAAGGTCAAGCTTCTGTTTACTGCATTGGAGTGTGGAGAAGTCCTTTCGCTGGTGGGAGAAATCCTCTCTGTAGGCGTTCAAAAGTTATTCACCGAAGCCAATCACGGGGGAAGATCACCCTCCCATGAACTGACCCCGCGAGATGCTGCTTGAAACAGTGAGCTGTGAATTGAGTTAAATTTTGTGAAAATAAGATCAAGTCCTGTAATATTCTGCATAATTAATTGAGATACATATCTAATTTTCGTCTTCTGCAATTTGTACGAAGCACATGGCTGCTTTCAATCCTGCAGTTAATTTTTCTAATGTAGTATTTGCTTTTTTGACACGATCAATATGTTCGATGAAGGTTCCTAACAATTTGTGCACTTTTTCATCTCGGAACCATGAAACTGCTGCATTGAATTAATTTAAGATTGCACCTTTTCTTGACTGTGTTTTTTCACTGTAGAGTTTCCTGCTAGGTTATTCTTCAGATGTTTCAGCGGTAAATTAATTTGCGGAAGTCTTCTGCTTTTGGGATGGGAAGGTTTAGGTTTCTGCACATGGTTTTTTCTCAAAACTTGCGGCGTTATTCAGAGCATCCAAGATAACCTACAAACATGCGGTTCTTTGCAAAATATGCAGGTGGGCTTTCTTCTTCTTTTAACTTTCATACATTGCTTCTGTGCGCTTCATGGCATTTACAACATTTTTCTTGTTTTCTTAGGCTTCCATTTTTCTATGCTGATATTATCAGGATTTGTGTTCCTCTTTACTTGCCTTGGAAACATGAACTGTCCTGACTCGGAACAGGGAGCTTACTCAAGCTATGTTCAATAAATGGTGAAGTAGACAATACAGACAGAAAGGGTATACGAAACCCTTTATTTTTCTATCTTTACAGAGCTTTCCGGAACTTCGGAATACAGAGACCAACCACTTGTGGTCTGAACGTAAGAATATAAAATACTAACTAAAACTCTAACTAAACTAACTTTGGATTAATATACAAGTGCCTAACTTTAAGATTGGCCGTTATTAACAAAAATCCGTATGTAGTACAGAGAGCTGCTAAAACTACGATACGTTTAAAAAATTATCAAGAGGATTAAACCTCTGGCCTTGAAGGCAACCAGCAACCGAGTAAAGCTACTATGGCAAGCGGCCTGCTTCTAATAACTCCTCCCTCTCTCTTGCTTGGCAAAAAGCCACAACATAAGTACTTGGCTTTAGCAAGACAAATTTTTATAAATAATTTAACGCTTTTAATTCTGGCCAGAAGTAGAAATGAAGAAGTGATAGTAAAGATTTAAAACAAAATAAACGTTAGTAAAACTTAAGATCCTTACAATATTTATGCTAAATATATTATTGAGGTTATAAATCGCTTGTCCACTTGAGGTTTTCCTTATAATTCTAGATGCCAGATTTGGAGTTTCTTGAAATTGTTTTTGCGGGATCTTCAGAATTGTTTCACTTTTATGATCGGGAATTTCCTTCTTTGTATATCTTCAAAGATTGCATCTTCTGGGATTTTATCAGGTTAAATTTTTCAGTACTACTTTTATTGGTTTTTCCCAGCTTATTCGGTAGGTGTGGAAAGGTACCCCTTACTTGTTAAGCATTTCTGTAACTGCACGATATTCTTCTTTATCCTTCAACTGAACGAAGGTAGCTTGGCCTTTCATTCCAGCTTCGAATTCATCAATGCAGTTTTCTCATAGATATCCTTCAACTTTACTACAATCGATTTGTCCTTGCTGAAATACTACTATGGGGAACGGAGTTTCATCTTCTTTGGCTCCTCCTTCTGCAGCGTCAACTTGAGGATCTAATCTTTCGAAGCGATTTTTCTTTTCAATTTTCATCGGCTCTGAGCTTTGGGCTGGTTTTGCAAATTTCTTTTGTGATTTTCATTCTCCTTCTTTGGAAAAATGTGTTTCTAGTTTGTTCCCTTATCTTTTTCTTCCTGCTCTGCTTCTACTCCTTGTTTTCCTGTTACTTTCTCAAAATAATACAGAGACTTCCTGCCCGTCTGCTGGTGTATCATCATTTTGATTGTTTCTAAGCCAAATTCTGGTATTAAATCCCCTTGTTCCTTAACAGATAGATCATGAATGTTATCCGCATTGTGCCTAGTTTCAGCACTTCACATAATTCTTCCTGGACATTCCTTGCCGTTTCTGCTTTCTTGATTTTCTTTTTCGGAGATTTCATGAAATCTTCTTTTCTTAGCTTGTGTGACTTCGTTGATTTGAAAGATCTGTCCAAATCCGTAGCGGTATCTTCTTCATCCGTTTTAGACGATGGTGTCCTAAAAAAGAGCATTTTTGCGTACCCGAGGGTACCTTATTCAGTTAAAGTAACTTCGAACACAAAATCACTAAAAGCTGAGCTGTCCGCCTACTGGACTGGAACAGTCTGCGATAATCCTCCACATCGAGTGAGTTGAGGGCCTACGCTCCAGGATTCCGCAGGATATACATATTTAAAAGGAGAAGGCTATCTCAGGTGACTTCTCTACGAAGAATCTGCAAACATCTTATCAGAAATGCACGGTTTATTTAATAAAAATGTGTTACGTTAGAGAAAAATTTCGAATTTCGTTTTTTCAAAACACCTACGCTGCAAAGTGCACTTTGAGGGCTTTATACTTCTTTTTAATGAATCAGAAATATTTAATGAATTGCATGTCTTTGCTTACTGGGAAGATCACTAAATCTCGGCTAACTTGGAGGAGTTCTCTACGAATAAAACTGAAAACCAATTGCCTGATATAGTTCGACAGTTTCATCCCAGAACATGAGTGCACACACGCATACACCATTCGGACCAGATTATTCTCAAATGGGGTAGAATGATGGGGACTTTCTTTCCCTCCAGCATATCTCATTTCCAGAAGATGAGATTTTCAGATGACCTTTTACGTCGCAGCAAGTAATATCGTCACAGGTAATCGTCACAGATAGTTAATACAAAAATATATCTTCAAATATTTAAAATTATTAATAATAAATTTGAACTGAAATTGACTAATAAGAGAAATTTATTGTTTATATATTCCGGGATGTTTTTTCAAAATACATGCGTTAGAAAGTGCACTTTAATTGCTTAAGTAGGTTTAGTACCTCTGCTTAATCAATTAAAAATATTTAATGTATCGTATGTCTCTGTTTGTTGGGAAGATCACTAACATTCGGAATTTGCGAGAAGTATCTAAAAGATTTATATTTTCTAATTTATTCATGAAGAGCGTCTAAACTTTGTGCGGCTGCAGCTCCAGAGTACTTCATTTACTTTTACAGAGTACTTCATTTAACAGGCTACTTCATTTTCTTTTTACTATAACTTTGCAGAGACAAATGAAGTAGAAAATTAATCGCCTTAACACAAATTATTTACTAAGAAAACTTTCATTTAGACTACGTGTCATATTTATACTGAAAACGACAAGTCGGTGAAATCTCTACGAATAAAGTTTTAGCTAAATTTTCTAACAAGTCAGGTGTATTCTTTATTTACTCGAAGAATCTAACTTTGAAGAAAAATTCCAGGAGGGTTTTTCAAAATGTGTGTCTTAAGAAGCACTATAGGTTACGTACTTGTTCTGAATAATTAGAAATGTTTAATAAATTGTATGTCTCTGCTTACCGGGAACCTCACTAATACACAGAATTCGGAAAAAAATGTTTTAATGTTTTATAGGGATATTTCCTGACTTATCCATTGACTTGAGATGCATATATATGTCTTCCTTAACAGCTCTGAGCACTTACAGGTGTTTCCCCAAATTTTTAGCTTAGTGCATCTGCAGCAACGTAAAACGTGCAATAAGTCCAGCTGATTAATACAACCGTAATTGACTAATTCCGTTAACCCAGAAAAACCATACATTCCATTAATTCCGTAACCATATTTATTTCCCTCGCTTTGTCCAAATACAGTTTAAGTGTTTCCTCGAATAAATAAATGAATTAAAATGTTTAAAATTTCAAATATAATTATTTCCTCACGTGTGTGTTGCCAGAAAGTTTTCATCCAAACTAGCGGAAGAAGAATTGAAATGCTGCAAAATGTAGCACGTGATGTCAGAGATCACATAATTTTTCTGACGTAATTTCACATCATTCTCACGTCATCGAAAATTCCGTAAACTAGGAGCTATACCTTTATTTTTCTTTGTGTTAATTATGTATATTAGTTTTCACAAGAATATTAAAAACATTTCGCTAATTTTCCATTGTTGAAATATCATTTATACTCTTAATTAA